TTCGGACTAATGTTCGTTTCAAAATACTAGTCAAGCAATGTGTGATTTATGTGACTAGTGACAGTTTGATTATAGCTGTAATATATTATAAAATGTATTTCTTGCTAATCCTCTTAAATCTGTTTTGTTTAACTTTGTTTAATCTGTTTTGTTTAACTTTATTTATTTAAATTACTAAAAAAAAAAATCTGTGAGACAGGATAGGTGCTGTCAATAAATGATCTCTGGTGACCAAACTACTGCAGTTTTGCAACTCATAATTTTTAAATTTTAAGTAAGATGGTAGAAGAATTGAAAAATATCAATTTATTTTTTCAAAGTTGTTAGACGGGTTGTATTAGGTATATTAGCGCTTAAGCGTCTCATTTTGCCCCTCGTTACGCTACCAGATTATATTTCTTTTGTGGTTATTTTTGGGAACATTTTTTATGCTTGGTTTATATGCCAACTTATAAGTGTATCCCGATTGCTTTAATGCTTCTTCATAAAAATGTGTCGAATTATTGAAAATAACTTTACTTAATGAGTTGGCGGACAATCTAAGCTTAATATTTTTGGAAGATTATTTATTATGTTAGGTGGATGGTTAGAACAGCATGTACATAACTTAGCTTATTATCAGGCTTGCAGTATGGTTGGAATGAATTTTGAGTAAGATTAAAAGTTAAATCAAGGTAGTTAACAGAGATGTTAAGATTGTTATGTTTAAAAACTTGAACGACATGCTTTTTTATTTGTTCCATTTGATAGCGGAGATAAGTTTTCCATTACATCTTCTTATATTATAACGTCAGAACTCATTCTACCGTGGATTGTAATTTTTAAACGGTTTTTTATATTTTTGATTTAAGGCGTTTTTTCGTAATTGAGATTTAAGTATAATTCTTGATTTCTATTGTATATCCTGTATAAAATTATATAGGTAGCCTGTGCAGTCAAAGCACAACTATATAATTAAAAACTCACTATATAATTACAAACTATATAATTAAAAACTTTTTTTTATTAAGTTAATAAACGCTGCGTTTCCTGAACATAGGAGTAAAAATGAGCTTCTTAAAAGCTATTATTCACCTGTAATAAGGGTTAGTTTCTAATCGTTTCTCGGCCTAATGACTAAAATCAAGTGTACTATCTGTTTTTATTTTGACTTCTAAATGCCTTTTGGTTGGTTACGGACCTAATAATAATACAAATATTATACTGTAATTAGATACTCAGCGTGGTGATGTGATCTTCAGTATCTGTGACGGTAACTGTGATTATACACACAGAATACCGTGATTATACCGTCAAACTACCGTCACAATACCTGTGACGGTAGTTATAACTTCAGTACTTCTCGCGGTAATTGTTTCTTCAGTCTATATTAAAGTTATGATGTCTTATACTTATTTAGTATACTAAATCCCTCGTATATGTATAATTAAATATGTTTTTTATTTTTTAAGGTTCTGAAAGAAACCTTATATTTTCAATGTCATCTACAAATATAAATATAACAAAATAAAAGGTAATTAGCAAATAATCTCTTTGTTAAAACTTCATGTGATTAGCAAATAATCTCTTTGTTAAAACTTCATGTGATTAGCAAATAATCTCTTTGTTAAAACTTCATGTGATTAGCAAATAATCTCTTTGTTAAAACTTCATGTGATTAGCAAATAATCTCTTTGTTAAAACTTCATGTGATTAGCAAATAATCTCTTTGTTAAAACTTCATGTGATTAGCAAATAATCTCTTTGTTAAAACTTCATGTGATTAGCAAATAATTTCTTTGTTAAAACTTCATGTGATTAGCAAATAATCTCTTTGTTAAAACTTCATGTGATTAGCAAATAATCTCTTTGTTAAAACTTCATGTGATTAGCAAATAATCTCTTTGTTAAAACTTCATGTGATTAGCAAATAATCTCTTTGTTAAAACTTCATGTGATTAGCAAATAATCTCTTTGTTAAAACTTCATGTGATTAGCAAATAATCTCTTTGTTAAAACTTCATGTGATTAGCAAATAATCTCTTTGTTTAAACTTCATGTGATTAGCAAATAATCTCTTTGTTAAAACTTCATGTGATTAGCAAATAATCTCTTTGTTTAAACTTCATGTGATTAGCAAATAATCTCTTTGTTAAAACTTCATGTGATTAGCAAATAATCTCTTTGTTTAAACTTCATGTGATTAGCAAATAATTGTTAAAACAATTTACAGAGAGAATAATCATAAGAGTTAAGTTCTCATTAATTTACACTTTTTTGTTTTTTTTTTGCGCCAAGAAGTTTTTACGGTCTTGTCAAAGAGCACCACAGATGAGCATTTTAATCGGAATTTCACGCCTCCTTCCTAACCGATGTCGCAAAACTTGCCCAGCAGTAGGGTTTGAACCAGAGATCCTATTGGGTTTGAACCATTTATTTTTTTAACTTTACTGCCAATTTTTAAATTTGCGTTTCAACAGATGAAGTTTCAACAGATGCATTTAACTCGATTTTAAAAAGTGGTTTACTTAACAGCAGCTTGTTTTTAATGACTTGTGTTTTATCTGTCGACACCTTTGAATCCATTGTATATTGCATTTCCACCACCAAATTTAGTGTAATTGTATCTGGACTAACTGCAAACCAACAGGTGATGAAGAGATTAGCTTATTCAGGTGGAGTGGTAACGGGCTTAAAATAAATCTTGCTAAATCTAAAAACTAATTAGATTAAAGAGGTATTAAACAATCATCTCCTCTATTTTTAATTAGACAATTATCTCCCCTATTTGGACTACGAAAATAACTACTCCTTTTTGATTATTTTATTTGGTCCCAGTCTTAGACCGTTTCCAATATTTTTCACAATGACGTTGTCCTTAAACGTAACTTTCTTTTTTTTTTTAGTTATTTAATATGACAAAACATTTGCAATATTACGTTAAGGAAGCAAAAATGCTTAAAATTTTTTTTTAAATGCTTAGTTTTATATAAGCTTGGTTCAGACTCAAATTTAATGGCGGTAATGTTTGTCGATGACACAAACTTTTTTTTTTAATTTTTTGTTCCTTATTTTACATTTACTGTTTATCTTCATATAATTTATAAAAATAAGAAGAAAAATACAAATAAGTATATCAATGAAAATAAAAAATACGAAAACTCAAAAAAGGTTTTGTCGCAGAGAACGCTAAGATTTGAAACTAAACTTTTTTTAACATTAAACTTATTATGGGTGTTTATGGTGTTTAGGGTGCTTTTAATAATCTACTGATTAAATTTTTCTCAGTAAATTATAAGAAGTTAATTCCAGTGGTAATGCATTCATGTTCATAGTTATTAAATAAATGTTTAGATAACTCTAATAATAAGATTCTGTTTTATTTAAAATCAAAACGTCTTGTACCATTTGATATTTAATATATATTTTAAAATAAAACAAACTAAAGTTTTACACTTCAACATTTCTTGGGTGTTTTTATTTAAAACAATACCACATGGAAAAATTCAGAGGGTCACCCTACTGCTACAACCGTACTACCGAGTTTTGCAGCTAGAAAATCAAAGTTTAAATTGGATCACCTTACTGCTACAACCGTACTACCGAGTACAAAAACAAAAGGTTTTGATAACTGTACAAATAATTGTCAAAACATTTTGTTTTTGGTGTGGTGGTAAGTTACACCAAAAAACAAAATGCCCATTACGTAACTCTACCTCCACAAATTGTCAATAAAAAAGGGTAACTGGGCAAGTTTCTGTCTGTCAAAAACAAAGAAGAAGAATTACACTAAGACAGCTTTGAAAAAAAAATGTACAGATGACGAGCACGAAAGTAGAGTACTCTCATCGGCTATAGCCTTAATTACCTTACCAGATGGATTGATTGACGTCAACATAAAGTAAAACTTAGGCATTATTATATACCAGCTCAGACAAAATATTCATAACCTCTAAACTTCTAATATAATGGAAACTTCTCTACAACACTTGATGCACCTCACAGTTGTCACTGGCGGATCATTCCACAATAAAAGTTAAAGGAATTTTCCAAATTTCATTACTAATGGCTAGCAAAAAAAACTAAATGTACAGTTTTTTGTAGTTGATAAATTAGTAGCAAATGTAATTGTCGAAATGGATGTACTGACACAACAATCTTCCATAACTATTAGCTTTGAAGGAAATAAACCGCGTAAATTTTGCCTTGCTACAAGTAACATGAAATGTAATGCCTTAAGAGCTGGAGTAGATATCGATAAAATTAAGCCTATTTATCGATATTTACCGACAAAATTAAGCCTATTGCAACAAAATCACGGCGGACCAAAAACTTTATATTTTTAACCGAAGAAATTACCCAGCAAGCATTGTGATGTGGGTGCCGTGTGGGACCCGCTTTATTATATAAAATAAATTGTATTACATATGTAATCAATATATACCTACTAAATTAAGAAGATATACTAAATCAAATCATAATTTTGATAGTAATATGTTGAGACTATCTAATGCCATACTTTTGCATAAATTTATGCAATATATAAATATTATATGCAATATATAAATATTATATGCAATATATAAATATTTTATAAAATATATTGCGAAAGAAATTTACTCAATTAACATTTATTTTGCAATTTATCTCAGCGCCTAAACATCCGTTATGTTTAGGCGCTGCATAAAAAACTATAAAACAAAACAAAATTTATTAAAAATACTTTTTGAAGAAGCACCTTCTGTATGGTTTGGTAATGCTCAAGATAAAGGCAAAGACGGCCGAAAAGAACGAATTTCAAATGCAGCATCAAACACAGAAAAGAACATATAGATTGTACATAATGCAGCAGCAAACATGTAACTTAAAGTATACAACAGTAAACAGTTGTATATATTTGATTATACATGTAATAACAGATTATTTTATTTAATAAAACATACATGTATATGTTCTTGTGTTTTCCCAAATCTGGGAAACACACGTATACACATACACATAACCAATCTTCTTCTTCGTTTGTAAATTTCTATATTTTTCCTTTTTTTGTTTCTTTTTATTTGTTAACTTTTCTTCTTTTTTTTTTTTTATGATATTTATTTACGTAAAAGTTCTTTTTTTTTTTTAGTTCGAAATTCTGTTTATCTTTTTGTAAATTTTTTCTTTTGATTTAACTGTTTGTTTTAAATTAATTCATAAAAGCTTGATTATGATTAACTGGTGACTTTTTTAAAAACAATATTTATCTTTTGATTTGAGTTTAATTTTCACATAGGTAGGATTAAAATATGTAAGCTGTGTTAAGAAAGACTCCAGTGGTCTGTAGATTGTTCATTTTTAGTGTTGATTCAAACTTTGAGGCGGTTAATCGTAAATCTAGAACTATTGATAAAAGATTAGCTTCAAAGAAATATAAGGAATGATTTTGTGTACCAAGGGTGCAAGGCGGTGTTGGCTAAATAGGTATATGGAAATGAATTTCTCTTAAAGGAATACGATTTTGAAATATTTATTCATGAAGACTATCCAACATAAAAGAGACATCGGAAGCTTTTACGCACTGCTAAACTATTATTTTAGAAGCCTAAAAATTGGATTTTCCAACCAGACGGCGCTTGGGCACATACTACCAACTCGATGAAAGAGTGATTTCTGAGGCAACATATTCTACTCTGGTTTGTACGATCACCAGACCTGAACTCCGTTGAAATTATTTGGTCACGGATGACAAGAAATTGTAAAATAATTATAAAGAATGTATAAAGCGTTGCACGCAAAATTCCAAAATTATTTTAATTATTTTGACATTCAACAAACGCATATATATATATATATATATATATATATATATATATATATATATATATATATATATATATATATATATATATATATATATATATATATATATATATATATATATATATATATATATATATATATATATATATATATATATGCATCTCATTGAATACAAAAAGTAAAAGCTCGTGGTAGTCATGCTAAATAATGAATTAAAGGGTTAATCTTATACTTTTTCAAAAAAAAAATTATTATAGTTTTTGACGTGATAATCTTCTTTGATTGATTTTGGTACCAAAATGATATTTATGTATTTTTTACTTACTTTAGTTATGCCAGGTATTCAAAATTAATATAAAAAAAAATCTTTTCTTTTTTATCATTTTAAAATATTGAAAATAATTTAACTATTTTTTAAAAAATCTAAATGACTTTATATTTTTGAAAACAATTATAAAAGCAATTGTTTACCAAAACACCTGTTTCACTGGTGTAATTAATATCAAAA